CCTAATAGTCAATTAAAATGGAGTTGAAAGGGAATATCTCCAGTGCCCCTTAAATTAAGCTAAACTGGGGTGACTTTCCTGCTCAGATTAGCATTTTTCTGGGGCACAGTTCTCTTTTGCCATGCTTTGGGGTGCTCAATGTGAGCCTGCTATACATTCTAATGATGTGAATAAAAGTAATGCAAACTCATAGTTTCAAGTACAAATTTGTTTTCCTATTTAGCTATTTAAATCTTAATTAAATGAGCTACATAAGCTGCTAAACTAAAATGTGGCTTTAAAAGATATTAGAATTCTAAGGAGGAGCTGAAATTAAATGTTAATTGCATTAATTTAAGACTCATTGGGAATTAAGAATGTTTATTCCTTTTACCTGGCTTCTGCACCACTTATAGATACTTCCATTGCTCCGGGTAGTTTTGATAATAGTGAATAAGTGGAAATCAACAAAAACGGCTATGTTTGAATGCAATAGAGGGGAGGAAAGATGGCTGTGCAGTCATTTTGCAAAAATATGTGGGCAAATTTCTCATGTGCTTGTGAGGCAACTTAAGAAGAGGATATAGATCTTTATGTCTAATTATAGACTTTGGATGCGATTAAAAGGAAAATTTAGATTCAAAAGTTATTTTTTGTTCTGATAGACATAAAATACTGGGAGGTAAAAATGCTTTTATTCCAAACTATCATCGTGTTTTTATTGTTTTTCATATTCCCATAATTATTGGTAATCCTACCATTAACATAGTTTAAACTAATTCTTATTTATTCCCTTTTTGACCTGGCTTACTATTAGGCATTGATAAATAAAGTAAAACAGACCACATGAGTGAAAGATCAGGGGCCTTGGAATCAAACAGAACTAGGTTCAGACCCTAACTCAGTCACTTTGATCTGGAGCAAATCACCTAATTGTTTCTACATCTTTAAAATGAGAATAACAACACCATAGTGTGTCACAATGATTATAGGTAGCCCTAACTTGATGGTTCAACTAACAATACATTAGACTCTATGATGGTTGGAAAACAAACGTATATAACTATGCTGTTTTTCATTTTCAGTACAGTATTCAAAAAATTACATGAGGTATTCAAGAGTCTATAATAAAGTAGGATTTGTGTTAGAAGATTTTGCCCAATTACAGGAAAATGTAAGTATTCTGGACATATTTAAGGTATGCTAGGCTAAGCTATGCTCTTCCAGTGGGTGAAGTGTATTAAATGTATTTTCAACTTGTAAAAGGTATACCAGAACATGACCTCATTGTAAATTGAGGAGCATTGTATATGATAAAATATACCAAAAACACTATGCTCGATTCTTCAAAGAAGGCAGGTGTACATTAATAGCTTATCTACATTATTCCTAAGCACCTTTATGAGGCCATCTTTGTAGCCTAGAATTTCTCTAGATGCACAGGAAAGAGCTTTCCTGAAAACCTGATTCCCTGTAAACCAATGTCTTAGAAGGCCTAAGACTGGAGAAACAGCCAGAGCAGATCTAAAGAGAGAAAAGATGAATATCCAACCCATAAAACAAGATGTTTAAAACTCTAGAGGAAAAGAGAATGCCTTCTACAGATTTTGAACAAAATCAACAATATAAATATTTATACTTCCAAGATAAAACAATTGTTGATACACAGAGGTTACAAATGACAAACTAGATAGCTTTTTTCCTTGTAAATGCAGCACATAACTTACCACGAGGACTGGCAAAATAATTGATCTCCATGAAGTAACCCAGCAAATAACAGTAATACAGCCTAAATCTAATAAACCACTGGAATTCTTTCCATACTAGAAACTGACATGAATCTGTGTAATAGTTTTCTATGTCTGCCATAACAAACTTCCACAAACTTGGTACCTTGAAACAACACAGATTTTGATTTTAAAGTTCTATAGACTAGAAGTCCACTGGAGTCTCATTGGAATATGTCAGCAGGGCTGTCTTCCTTTTTCAAGGCTCAAAGAGAGAATCCGTTTCTTTGTCTTGTCCAGCTTCTACAGGCTACTGTCTTTCCTTCCTTGGGGTACCTTCTTCCATCTTCCAAGGCAGCAACAAGAGTCAGAGACCTTACATCACATAAGTCTGCTTCCTCTTCTGCCTTTCTTTCCACTTGAAAGGACTTTTGTGACTAAATTGGACTTGCCCACATAATCTAGGATAATCTCCTTATTCTAAAGTCAACTGACGAGCAATTCTTAAGTCCACTTGCAAACTTTATCTGCCTTTGCCATAGAACCTAACACAATCATAGCCTCTGAGGATTAGGATGTGGGCATCTTTAAGGGCCACACAAAGATGCCTATGGCAATATCTAAGAGAGATCATTTCTGGGTTACGTAATATTAATCCCTGAGTGTAACATTATGCATCTCACTCTTATTCACTTTTTCCAAAAGTTTGAAAACAGGAGTGTTGGGTTTGTTTGTTTGTTTGTTTGTGACAAACTTAAAACATGCAAACCAAAGGTATTTCCATGTTATTTAACCAGAGTAAAGTTATATGACCAAAACTTTTTCTGTTTATACATTGGGCAATAAAAATTGGTTATCTCTAGTGTATATTATTAATGTCTCTGTCAATAAGTCATACAAGATTACCATCACAAACTCCTGTAACCTATCCTACCATTTAAATCTCTTGCATCTAGAACTTGCTATATTTCCAGAAAGAAAAATATATGTCACATTAGCATTAAGTACCTTGGTGTCATGACTTAGAAAGTGAAGATTCAAATAGTGTGGTTGGGATCTGAAGTATGAATATAGAAATTGTGATGGGTTTTCCTCTTACTCGGCTCATTTAAACAGAGCATTGATATTTAAAGCTTCAATTCAAGAGCATTACATCTAAAACTATCTGGTTACTTGATTTTATTAGAAAAAAATAAAAACTACATAGGCTACCACTCCTCAAGAATATTTTTGAAAACCATTGTTTATTTCTATGCAAGTTCATCATCTACATTAAGAGACACATGTCAAATGTGTCCAAAGCCCAGGAATGTAATGGAAATAAATAGACAAGTCTAAGTAAACACTGGGCAAATGTGGGCCTTGCCCTGTCTGAAGAGGCTGCTAGCCAATTCTAACCTCCACTCTCAGGAGATCCTCTGGCATTTTAATTGTTCAGAGATTATGTGATATCATACAAATTTTAGATGTTGGCAACTAAATAATATGTTTTCAAACTTCTTGGATGAGCAAATAAAGCATAGGTATGAAGCAAAGTTACCTTATGGGCCAGTAGTTTGTGACTTTGCATCTAGATCAGCCACTCGTTTGTAACTGCCCAGTATTTTACCTGATGAAAAGGCTGACTATTTGAATACAAGCACCTTGAAAACCTGGACAGATAAGTGCACACTTAGACGAGACAAAGAGCCCTCACAACTCAGGGGTTCTTTGTTTCTAGAGGGAATAAGTTGTACCTCATTCTCTATTGTAGCCTCAGCACAGAGCAGAGTATCTGTCGATTCTAAGTGTTTCTTGAATCAGTGAATAAGCAAAATTGAAGAGAACTTGGAAAGTCTGAAGGTTCTACTCACAGCTGTTAAAAATGTAAAGAAGTAGTGATCTAGCTTTAGAATTTGGAATTGACTCAGAAGCAATAACTTGGTATTTTCCTTATCAACAAAATATATCTATTACAATTCCTTGTAATACTGCAATGACCATTGAGGACTTTTATAGTATAAAGAGACAAAAAATAATAATTTGAAATGATAATAAACAATTACCTAATCTTACTATCTATACAAAATGTTCATGTTAGAAAATATTTTAATATATGACTTCTCTTATTAATCAGAACATTTCTTGGAAGTAGACTAATACTATCTTCTTTTATTTTTGTGGGTACTGGGGATTGAACTCAGGGGCACGCAACCACTGAGCCACATCCCCAGCCCTATTTTGTATTTTATTTAGAGACAGGGTCTCACTGAGTTGCTTAGCGCCTCACAGTTGCTGAGACTGGCTTTGAACTCATGATCCTCCTGCCTCACTCAGCCTCCCAAGCTGCTGGGATTACAGACATGCTCCACTGCACCTGGCTCTATCTTCATTTTTTTAAAAAATGGTAAAATTGAATTATAAAAGAAGTTAGGCAGTTTTATAAAAACTTGCAGAAAATTATCAAAGAACTGAAGTTAATCTCTGACTCAGCTCATGACGGTTTCCTCCTGACTAGGGTGTGACAACATAGAATTGAATCAGATGAATTAAATACCCACAATAGCACCTTCATAAACAGGAAGGGAAGTAAATGATCTATACTATAGAACAGAGAATGAAGAAGGAAAATGCATGGAAAAGAAGTAGAGTATTTTCAAAAAGGTATGTAGACATCAGAGTACCTCGTTCATTATGACACTATTGCAAATTGGTTAAATCATTCCATAGAACAGATGAGACATTCTGTTGCAACTGTGTCATTTTGCCTGGGTATATGTTGCTCTGTGATCCTTTTCATTTCCTATATGTGTTTCATGAGGGGACAGAAATTTCATGAGGGAACAGAAGCTAAAAATATATTACAAGTTCCTATAACACTCTCTACCCAGAAGGCATTTGTTGAATTATTTGGTTGGCCAATGAGCTACATATATATTGGTGACAGTATAGCACAATGGCTATAAGCACCTGAGACTTGAAGTGAATGAATCTGTGTCAATGACTAGTTAGGTAACTCCGGGCAAGTTGCTCTACTCTGTGAGTCTTCTGTGGAAATGATGACAGTGGTAAGACTTATTCCTAAGTTTGTAGTGAAGATCAACCAGGTTGAAGTTGTAAAAACCTAACAGGATGTCTGCTTCATGGCATGCGCTCCAAAAAATATTTTCATAACTTCCATGCTTATTGACATTTCAAGCTCGGTAAAGCACAAGAGCTAAATACTAATGACTGCAGATCTGGAGAAGAAAAGTTTGGTTAGTTCTCAAAAATACTGTGAGAGGATGAAAAGAAATTTTTTAAAGGGACCCAAAATGCATTTTTAAAACAAACTTTTAATTTATCCAAAATGCCATCTGTAATACAACAAAAAATAAAAAGATATAGATGCAGTGTAATTTACTAACATAAGTGAGTACAAACAAAACCAGTTTGCAGATCCAAGCTTACAGATGAGCAAAACACTTGATATGTTGTGTTTTACAAAGAAAGAGGAGGGAAGACCTGAGGTTTGGCTGGTCATGAGGAGCATATTCAAAAGAAGGGATATATGAAATATTCTTTTTTGAAATATTTCCCTTGTTTCTAGGAAAGAATCTATCATTACTGTTATAAATTTATTATTTGATCCATGTCCAGCCAACTAAATTTCCAGTGCATACATGTTCTTAGATCTTTAATCTTTCAACATGCATTTTTCAGATCCTAGCTGCTCCCATGCACAGGCAGAACGAATGTAATGACAGAAGTACAATAAAGTGAGAAAGAGAAAAGAGAGTATTAATTTCTCACAAGGAAAATAATGATACACATCAAATGATCTCTATCATATTTAGGGTGATATTTATGAGAGAAAGCTAGTGCTAAGCAATTGAAACCTTTTATATGCAAACGTAGCAGAAAAATGAACGACTACAGGGCAAGTACCACACATTAATTTAGAAAAGAATTTGATGCCAAAATAAAGTAACTACCTCCCTGGCACTTCATCTTTTGCGCCCATAGGAGACATCTCACAGAGCCTGAAAGCATTAAGTAACACCTTAACCCTGAACCTTTCAGCCCAGGCTCAGGCAGAGGAATTTTGTTAGGGGTTGTACCAGGGATCTAACTCAGGGGCACTCGACCACTGAACCACATCCCCAGACCTATTTTGTATTTTATATAGCGAAAGGGTCTCACTGAGTTCCTTAGCAAGCCTCCCTTTTTTGAGGTTGACCTTGAACTCATGATCCTCCTGCATCAGCCTCCTGAGCTGCTGGGATTATAGGTGTGCACCACCATGCCCAGCTGCCACAATCATTGACTCAGAAAACATCCTTGGTTTCTCCTTGGCGTACTTCTGTGACTAGACTAAATTCCATTGGTCTGGAAGACTCCGCTGGAATATCATCTCCCTGCCTCTCAATACCTTCCTTAGTCTCCTCTTGGATGCAGTGTGGCAGGCAGTCCTGGTCCGAGTTACTCCACACATAGCCGGGTAAAGTTACATGGCTGTCAGGCTGTTGGGTGGCTGTCTTGGCCGTTTTGCCAGAGAGGAGCACCAGGCGAGTGCTGGCAGCCACCTGGGAATGGCTGCTGGTGCTATGAGTCACAGTGGTGAGCACGGAGCCGTATCTGTGGCTGCCACATGGTGGCGTCCTTTTCCAGTCCATGGACAGATTCCACCGACTCCACATCTTCTTCACCTCTCCCTGAACCTGAACGACAGGAAACATGTATCAGAAACAAGAGAACCTGCAGTCTTGTTACAAGGATGTATGACTTGATTTCAATTATAATAATCATTATTGAGCTTCCTCTATGCACCTGGGACTTTAGAGATACATTCCCTCTCAACCACAAAATAATGTTCAAGAGGGCTGGTGTTGTAGCTCAGGGGTAGAGCGCTTGCCTAGCATGTGGGACACTGGGTTCAATCCTCAGCACCACATAAAAACAAAATAGAAGTATTGTGTCCATCTACGACTTTAAAAAAATACTTTTAAAAAGATACAATGTTATTTAAAAAAAATCTTCAGAATAGGGGCTATTTTTGGAGATGAGCAAACTGAGGCATAGGGAGAAATAAAGGGACTTGTCCAAGACTAGTATTTAACTAGAAGCTGCAATGCAGCTAATAGAAGTATCTGATTTGGAGAGGAAAGCAGACTTTTGTCTGGAAGAGAAATAAGCTACAAATAGTGACATTGAGGACTGCAGAACCCTTTGCACTTGGCTACTCCATTCAAACCCCTGACCAAACTCTTGTGACTTCTAGCAGCATAGAGTAGACCCTATGGATGATCACATCCCTGCTTAAAGTGCCTGCCTGAAAAAGCTTAATGCTGCCAGAAGATTTGTCCTGGTAAATACACCAGATAACAGTTCCCTGACCTCTTAGAACATTTACTAACAAGGGCTCACAGTTGTAAATATCCTGGCCTCTCAGAAGCCTCTCTCTGAAGGACCTAAGAACCACTCCTTCAAGTTCAAATCATCAAGAAGGATAAGGCCTCTGTCTCCCAGTCTCTGTGGGAGGATAAAACCCTGCCTTCGAGAACTGCAGCCAGCAGGCACAGCTGGCCTATCACATCCACACTGGCCAACTTTATACTTTTTCATCCTCTGACTCTACTGAGCTCCTGAGCACCCCTTTCCTCATTCTCCTTTTAAAATGCTCCTGCCCTAATTAGATGGAGTTCAGATCTTTCCCCTACTCTCAGTAGTTACTGAGTAAAATCTGTTTCCACCACTTTAATGACTGACGACTGAGGAATGGCAGGGAGGTCCTCAGCTTGGAGTGGAACTGCCACGCTAGCAATCTATAGGCAAAATGAAGAAAGAAAAATGAGGAAAGAAGGACATTCCATGGAAAAGCAGTCACTGCAAACACATTTCCAAGAAGGCAGGGCTTTTGTTTCCATTTATGCTACTGAAGATTCAATTGTCCTGCTACTGCCCATTTCCAGAGGAGCTTACTTGCAAGTTCTAAGGGAAGCAGTAGAAACGTGGTAAGCTGACATCACCTAAATCAACAAGCTCCTCTCTGTTCATCGTGGCAAAAAATAAGCACCTGATTTACTTGCCCTTCCTGCAAAAATGAGGTAAAAATGGTACAGAAGTAAATCAGGGAATTAATGAATTGTTACTTAAGAGACTGACCTAGCATCCCACAATGTCCAAACCCCAGATGTGGTCAGAAGCATTAGCTGATCTATAGCAATTGGAAATATCTTTGCACTTCTGAAACTTGCAGCAAGTTGCAAATTTGAAAGAAGAAAGGTAGCAACTCATCCAACATGTTAAAAGTGAAAAGGTGAAATCTATCATTCAATGTGCTGACATCTCCCTGGTCAACTCCCAGCTCGTAGTTTAAAAAAAAAAAAAAATATATTGAAGTATTTTAATGGATGTGCCCAAGAAAACTTATATTTGAATTTTTGATAGAACTTGAAATGGAGTATGTTTCGGTATTTACTGGAATTTGAAGTTCACTGTCGATGCAAATATCAATCTACATTTCAACAAGTTGTTTTAATATGAGGGTTTGCAACTGAGTTGTCATTTCAAAGTGCTTAGAAAAGGAATACCGTAGTTAATTTACATCACTGCTTATCTTCTTGAAAGAATATATGATTAAATCGCCTTCATTCTCCCTATCCATCTGTCTTGTAAATCTTGGGAATCCTCCAAAGAGATTCAGCTCACATTGTGATGACCATTTATATGCTGCTCTGGTTTGAATGTATTGCCCCAACTTAGGTTGCACATTTAATCTTCAAGAGAACAGTTTTTCTGAGGTGGGGCCTAGTAGAGATGTTTAGGTCCTGAAGGCTCCACCCTCATGAATAGATGAATGCCAGTTAGGAAAGAACTTGAGGTTTTAAGTTTTATCTTTCTCAGTGCAATCTCTCTTGTCCCATTTCCTTCCACTGCAATGATGCAGCAAGAACACCTCTGCCAGAGGCGGGCCCCCAACTTGGACTGTCCAGCTTTTAGAACTGTAAGAAATTTCTGTTCTTTTTAAATGATGCACTCTCAGGTATTCTGTTATAGCAACATACAATGGACTAAAGTACAAGCTTATCTGGGGCTAGTTCTGTTGACTTTTAGGGGTTCCTTCAGACCTACCTCTCCATTGCAGTAGCAGTAGATGATGGACACAAAGAAACCCTGCAGAACAAAGACACTGTTAGCCCACTGACAACTCAATTACTTTTTCTTAATGTTTCCAAACCCTTACATTTACACTAAATTTGTTACGATTCTCTCCTTGGTGTTCACTAACTGAGTGGAATAACTAACTGAATACAATGCTCCAAGACAGCAAAAATCTGATTTCTTTTCTTTTTTTTTTTGGGGGGGGGGTTACTAGGATTTAACCCAGAGGTACTTAACTGCTGAGCTACGATCTCCCCAGCCCATTTTTTATTCTTATTCTTTTTATTTTGAGATGGGGACTTGCTAATTTGTTTAAGGCCTCGCTAAGTTGCTGAGGCTGACTTTGAACTTGCAATCCTCCTGCCTCAGTCTCCCAAGTCACTGGGATTACAGGCATGCACCACCACACTCAGCTACAACTGATTGCTATTAACTAGTTTCATCTATATTGCCACTCAAGGAGCACATCTTCCCATCCCCAGGTTGGTAAAAGATATGTATAGACTATGAATGCTAGAAACCAGAGACATAAAATAGTATATGATAACACTAAAAAGAATCTGTTCATTTACTCAAAAATATCTATTGAGCTTATACAGTGTGTTAGGGTTGGCTCAGCAAGACAATGCAAATATAAACAAAACAGTTCTGGAAAAGAAGAAACATGGATAAAACACAAACAAATAACCATATGAGGAAAAAAAGATGATAAGCATTTGCAGGTAATATAAATGGTGTTAGAGAGACCAATAGGTATAGCAGATGAGGAACCAATATATAACTGAAGACGTGACATATAAGTTGGTTTGAATGATAAGAACAAGAAGCCAGCTGTACGAAGCCTTCCAGGCAAAAAGAACAGCAAGTGTGCGCCTCTTGAGGAACAGAAGTGTGGCAATGATAGCACACTGGGGTGCCTACAACATCCTGGGCTACCTCATACCATCTCCATCCAGGCAGGACTGTGGATGCCAGAAAATGGCATTTCAACTTTAAATATGTGGATATTCCTGGCAAGTTAAGTACCATGGTCAAATTTATATATTTCAAGATTCTTCAGACTATTATGTATAGACTAGACTCAAGGAGGTAGGAGGTGGCAAGGTGAAGAGTAATCAGCGCAAGGGATCATGGCCATCCTATTTCAAAGGAGATAAAACATGTAGTGGCAAGCTTTTCCTCTTTTTTTCCCTTTTAAACCTCCCCACCCCCTTTTTTCACTTTTCCCTGCCAGAGCCTTCTTTGGCTTCCCTTTATTTTCCATACACAAAAGCTCTGCAGGAGTTACATATTTTATAACAATATACTTGCTTATCTTGCTGCCTAGGCTTGTTCCTGTGAGAAACAGCTCCAGGGCTGCTTCTGCTGGGGTCAGGGAATTAACCAGACCTCTAGGATGGAAAACCACAAGTGCCATTGAACACTGTGCCCTGAAGGCCTCAGAAGACAGCACTTCAAAGTGATGGGTGGAGGAGGAGGTTGCATGGGAGCAGGAAAAGTGAAGGATAAGACCCGAGTGACTAGATGGCCCCCTTTACCTGGAAGGAGTTGAAGAAGAGCTCACAGTGCATGCGGATCTCCCACCAGAGCCCTGTGAAGGAGTGGGGCTGGCAGATGAACACGATGTAATGCACTCCAAAGACCAGCATGAGGACCAGCGTGGACTTGGCAAGTTTCCTGAAAGACAGCAGCAAGCCTTTTTATTCATCAGCCTAACATTCTTTCAGCAGAGGCAGCTTGCTGGAAAAAATTAGGTTAAGCATTGCTAACAGAAGCCACCTGTCTTTGGATTCCACCACTCCTGCTAGGCCCCCCACCACCACCTTCCTTCTCTTCCTGTCAATTTTATACTGAATCAGGTAGTTGATTCTCACTTCCGATGATTAATATCCCCTAAATATCTCCACTCATTTCACTCTTCTTGATTATAGGAGGCTATTTTTACAAAGTTGTTAAGTGTTTTTCTTCTGTCCTAAGTCCTCTTATGTTTGAGATTTAAAGACACATCTCCTCCATCCACATTAACTGCCTTCATGTTCCTAGGCAGGATTTGGCTGCTTTGTTCATCTTAAAATCAACTACTCTTGGAGACATTTTGTATTTCTTTATGAGCGACATGCACTTATTTCCACCTGCCTCCTCAGAATATTCTCTGTCATACACTATCTTAAACTTTATTACCTTTATAGTTCTATTTGTCTACTTTTTGTTCTATCTTCAGACTAGGTGATTTCATGATATTATTTCCCTTAATGGGATCATCATACACATTTTCTTCTGTTTTTAGAGTAATCCTTCCTGGGTTTTTCCAAGAGGATGGTATGGTGGTTGATTGTAGGTTTTGACATGCTTGGATGAAGGGAAACCCTGAGAAGTGGCAGAGGATTCTCCAGGGTGTTTATGAAGGTGCTTGCAGGGGACACTGCAGGGGGCCATCTAGTCACTGGGGTCTTATCCTTGCTTTCCTGCTCCCATGCAACCTCCTCTTTCATCCCTCTCTGTGGCTTTGAAGTGCTATGTGTCAGTGAACTGAGAGGAGAAGACCTGCCCTGAATGTGAGCAGGCCCCATCCTATCAGCTGGGGACCCAGATAGAACAAAAAGGCAGAGGAAAGGTGAATTCGTCCTTTCTCTTCTGGACAGCTCTCTTTTTCTCCTGTAGTTGGACATGACAACGCCAGTTTCTCCAGCTGTTGTTCTCTGGCACTTGAACCAGCAGCCCCTTAGGTTTTCCAGCCTTTGCCCTGGACTGAGGGTTCTATCATTTGCTCCCCTTGTTCTAAACCTTTTGGACTCGAACTGAACCATGCTACTGGTGTCCCTGGTATTACAGGGGGACAGTAATTATACAAGGCATGTACACCTGTCATGGGATCTCTCAACCTCCATTATCACATGTGCCAACTCTCCCCAAAAGCCCCCTCTAATGTATCTCTATCTAACTATCTACCTACCACCTACTTATCTATCTATATCTGTCTTATTGGTTCTGTCTCCCTGGATGGGCTTATTCTAAATGTCTCTTGATGACCCTACCTCTTGTTATTTATATCCTTGTCAGTCCCTTCTTCCTGATGTGGGCAGCACCAGCAACTTGCTTCTAACCAATAGACTTTAACAAAGATAAGAGGATGCCACATATGTGATTATGTTGCATAAGACTATAACTTTCCTCTTCCTAGCAGACTCTTTCTCTCCCTTGCTTCTTCAGTGAAGGATGCTGCCACATTGTGAATTGCTGTCGGGAGGCCCAAGTGGTGAGAAAAAATGACATCTAGACAATATCCAGCAAGTAACTGAATCCTACTAACAGTCATGTGAACTTCCCCAGTCCAACCCTGACATAAAATCACTGCCCCAACTGTCCTCTCAACTGCAGCCTTGTAAGAGACTGAAGTGGAGGACCTAGACCTGGATTCCTGAGCTACAGAAACAGAAATGGCAAGTATATTTTTCAACCCACTTGGTGTGGTCATTCATTTTGCAGCCATAGCACATCCAAGTGCACCACTTTCTGCTTGTTGGTTGGTTTTGTTTTGTTTGCACTTTTTTACCCAAGAAATTGCCAAATGTGTCTTCATTCTTACTTGTTTCTCATATTACCCTCTTTCTCTATGAATCATTTACACCCAATAATCTCAACCTTCTTCTGTTCTCACTAGTCTTGTGTCCAGCTGCTTTATCTATTAATTTAATTTTCTTCTTGGAAAGAAATTGTGTAGGTGAGTTGAGGCCACACTGGACTACGACTAAAAAGAACTGGATTCAGATTCTAGACCTTCCTAAATACTTGTGCCGACCGTGGTTCAGTTTCCTCATCTCTGCAATGACAGAAAAGGGCACAGAAGTCTACAGAGCTTAATATTATGATGCTTTACCAGGGATCAAATTGTGTGTGCACATGTATACTTTTCTATCACATCTTTCTTACCAACTCCTATAGAAGATGAAGTGTCTCACAAAAGCATATTGTAATACCTATTGAGATGTCTGGAGTTGCACATTTGCTCTGCCTCATTCTCTGCTGTCTGTCTTTTCTCTCAGGAGTGCATGGACCACATGTTCCTCTAGGCTCAGTGCCATCCACCTGTCCCTCAAGCCCCTGGTTTCCTCTGCTGCTCCTAGTGCAAATACCTCATACCTTGCATTACCTACAGTCCATTCAATTTGAAAATTCTACATTCAGTCCATTTAATTCAAGACAGTATTCCTGAGGAGCAATGGTTTCTCCGACCTGTAGCTTTCAGAGATCTTTGCATGTGCTTGTCTTCCTGAACCTGATCCATAAACCCTGTCTTCCCATGTGACAAGACTACAGGACACTTTGAATACCTGAAAGCCATTTTAACTCCAGCTAATCATATACAAAGTGACAATGTCAACTTTACTTGCAGAAGCTTAAATGTTTTGTCTAACATCACTCGGAAAAGAAAATTATATTTCCCTCTTCAAGAGGAAGAGTAAATCCCCCTGGGAATTGTTCTCAAAATCAAGCTAACTCTGTTCTTACTATGTGTGGCTAAGGGCCCAAAACTAGATTAAAACAAAGAAATAGAGAAAAGCAATAGATAGTGAAATGGTCACAGACATCAAAGTTTAGGAAAGTTGCATTAAGCAACAGAATATAGGAAATACCCTTTTACCTGCATCCTCTGGATTTTTCCCTCTTTGTCTGACTTTTTTTTAAATCTCTGTGTAAAGCTAAAAGTTGATATGCAGAAAATTGATAGTAATTATATTTGTTTTCTATTACTATATAATAAATTACCACAAAACTACTTCCTTAAAGCAATACCCATTTATTATTGCTCTGTTTTTATGTAGTACCGGGAGTTCAGGCATGGTATACTTGAGTTTTATGCTCAGGGTCTCTCAAGGTTGAAATCACAGCGTCAGCCAGAGCTGCAGTCTCCTGTGGACCTCAGGGTTCTCTTGTACACTCATTTAGATTTCTAGAAGACCTTCTTTTCTTACCATGGTAGAGAGGTCTGCTGGATGCAAACAGGGTCACTCAATTCCTACAAGCTGCCCTCAGGTCCTGGTCACAGGCCCTCACAGCATGTCAGATTACTTTTTTAAAACCAGCAGGAGAATCTCTCCAGGCTTCCAGGGTGGAATCTATATAACACTTCAGAGGAGTGACTAGCCCACTTCCTTTGTCATACAATGTAACCTAACTAAGGGGATAGCAACTGTCTCATCATGAGTCTTGCTCAAACTCCAGGTGAGTGGGGGGACAGTAATTATACAAGGCTGTACACCTGGGGCTAGGAATCTTAGGAGCTACCTTAGAAACCAGCCTACTACAGAAATGCAAAGGATGCCTGAGAAGGCCACTAACTGTGTAGCTCTGTAGTTATTGACAAGTTTTTCTGGTGTGCATCCATTTGTAAATTCATTTCAGCATCCATTATCTGAATCTATCTTCTCTTTTGAACCATTTGCAATTATACCACTTCCCTCATTGATGAATGAGTTAAATATTTAAAGTGTGTTCATTTATCTCTGTGTAAACTGTGATCACATCCTCTTTTGGAATGTATTGTGCAATGGAAATAAATGAATTAAAGCAGGGGTATGTGCAAGCAAATGTACACACATCATCATCTGTCTACATTAAGATCGGGCATCCAGCAATTCTGGACACTAATATTTTTTTCAGTGTCCATCTGGTCACCCGTGTATACTGTACATCTTCACGGCTTGGCTGTCTGCAAAGGCACAGCTGTCTAAGGAGATGATTTAGGGATTATTCACTAATGGTGGTCTTCTGGCTTGCTGGAAATGGGTGATGGTCTGTGTTCATAGGGAAAGCCACGAGAAGAAAACAAAGGAGTCAAATGGTTTTTGAGAACTCAGTGTACTGCCTAGAAAATAGATGCCCATTTTTTGTGCTATCAATCCCTAAGTGATGTCTCCCAATGAAGTGCTCTGGAAAATCTTTACATGTCTTTAGAAAAATCACATATGTCAAAATACATTCTGCTGTCATGTATGACTAGAAAAATAAATAAAAATAAACCGTACGGTTAAAAAAAAAAAAAGAAAATCACATTTTCCTTAAAAAAAAAGAAGGAAGAAAGGAAGGAAGGAAGGAAAGAAAGGAAGGAAGGAAGGAAGGAAGGAAGGAAGGAAGGAAGGAAGGAAGGAAAAGAAAAGAAAAGGAATTTCCTTGATCCTTTCTGGTTTTTAATTAATTTTTGTTCTCTTTCTGTGCACATAGCATCTCATAGATACATGCCTACTGGTACCTTCCTCCTTTAGGGGGGAGATTAAATTAATCTCTCACTCTCTCTCTCTCCCTTCCTTCCCCTCCTTTTCTCCCTCCCACTAGATTGTGGTTTCAAGGTCACACCATGTCCCTATTGCATCTTGCACTGGCTGCATCACGTTATTCTGACAGCATCCATGTGAGAGAGCTATCATTACCCCCTTTCCAGGTCAGGTTAGAGGTTCAGAGAAAAGTACTCACCCAGATTATACAGTAAGTGATGTTTCAGTCTTAAAACCTGTCCTCTTTACTATCATTGTGCATGTAAGTATTGGTTGAATTTATTCTAAAAACAAACATGAAATATGATTTTTGTTTGTCATTGAGTGGAAAAATCATATTAATCAAAATATTGAAATATTCTTTCTCATTGAATCTTGCATATGTAATCCTTCATGGTTCAAATGTTTTTCCAATCCCAGCAACTTTTCTTACTTTGCAAAGGAATCAAATTGTGATTTAAAAGGGGAAAAATATAAGAATTTGCCATTAAATCTGAGAGATTAATTTTTTCACATCAATCTTGTTTTAAAATAACTGTAAACTATACACAGTATGTCACCACTGGGGGAAACTCGGAGAAAGATATATATGAGTCCTCTCTCAATTATTTCTGCAACTACATGTGAATCTATGATTATCTTTAAATGAAGTTATTTTAAAAACTGATTGTATTCATTCATTTCCATTTTAATTCACTTTATCAACAAAGGAGCCTTATGTACTTTTCAAAAGTCTTTTTAAAAAGACTGTGTGTAAAGGATGTGTGTAACCACATCCTCACCTAGAGAGGATCTTAGCTCTAAGGTGTTTTTAGTCTTTCATAGTATTATGCATTGAAATGTACTGTTTTATTTTATCAAGAATAGTTGAACATTTGTTAGAGAAAGCTAATAACAAAATGAAATATGTTTTAAAGTACAAAAATGAATTAATATAAATTTAAATACTCAACCACTGTGGATATAAATTTAAATAACCAAAAAGCCTCATTGAGACAGGGACACAAATTTCATTTTTTTAAGTCTACTTAAAAGGTGAAACTTTATAATCGAAGGCCTCAGAAACTGAATACCGAATTGAATTTCCAAATTGCTGCCAAGTAGTTTTCCATATTTTTTCCTTAAAAAATAAAGTTTTCTTTTTCTACTACATTTTTATATGTGGTTTAACTCTGGACATTATTAAGATTATCAAATATGTTTCAGCTATGAAAAAAAAGATATATATAGCTGAAAATAAACTTTCCCTGACTTCTATTAGTCATTAACAACTTCAAACTTTAAAAACTTCTGAGCACCAGATTATTAAAAACTTTTTCTGAATTCTGAATAGTAGCTAAATTATTCTTCTCAATTATTCTGAGAAATAATTTTCCCATGAATTAACTCTAAATATTTTCTCTTCAATTAATATTAAAGATAAGCCAACCTTTGTTCCCGTCAGTTTCTCAAATATCTTGGGCAATTTTTTTCCTAAGAACACAAGCTCACATCACTCAGAACTATAGAATTATCAGCTTATATTCAGAACTAGAGAAATAAGTAGTTTCCAAATACCATTGCACATTTTTAGTTTATGAAGATTGAAAGGCTATTTATACCTTCCATTGTTCTAGCATCCTTTAGCCCCTGCCTTCACCAATGGGACCTAACACATGACAAAATAGTGTAGCCTAGGTTCTTTGCTATAAACTCTTATGCACAATTTATATTACAATACCACCATTTGCAGCATTGGAAATATCTGGAGCTGGGAGCTGGTGATTAATCCCAAACCATGCATCCTGTCTAGACTCCAGGTCATACCTGCAGTCATTGCTGCTCAGCAACAAATGCTGCCTAAATATAATCAGCAAAGGGCTTAAAGAACATAAGTGAAAGAGAATCAAAATGTTGACCATGGATTATTCCTTTCTGTAATTGAGATAACACTTCATAACAACCTGAGGCAGAAAGAAATAGTTACCTGTTTAGGAATCGAAAAGACTAATCCACATCCACCTGGTTATGTGCATGTTTAGTTGGATAGAGGCCACTATTACTCAGAATATCCAAAATGATCATTGGGAGAAATGGATATACTCCTAAGATAGTTTGATGTGATTCTTATTAATACTCAATTTGCCCTTTTTTTTCATAAAAGGCTAAATAACGGATCTCCTTCAATCAGGACATTTGAAAGTTTATATTGGTAGGTGCCGATTCAATAAAAGGATGGGACACAAAACAAGAAGTCTTCTTTCTTGATTATTGCCAGTTATGACACATTTTTAAATGCAGACAAAATTCTCTAAATCATCAATAAGAGATTGTCCAAGAGTTCATATGATTTATAGAAAAATACCAACCTACTAAAAACAGATTAAAAATATACTTAAAATTTAAGCATGAAGGAAGGTTTGGGATAATTTACATGTTGAAAATATGCATATATCTAAAATTACATAAATGATACACAAACACATTGATAAATTTAATCCCTTAAATACATTTCAAATCAATTGATATTTGTTTTTTAAACAGTAACTAAAATATTTCCTCTGATAGAGACCTATTCTGGAGTTACCTGTATTGTTTTCTCATGTCATGCCCGACTGCATTAGTCTCCCAAATTTTAGTAGCCAGAACTCTAACAGTGTTCAGAAACAGAATAAAATTCAGCTGAAAGAGAAAGTAACATTATGAAGAATTATTAAATTAGTCATCAACATTTTTATAGAAATGTACATAAAATTGAACCTCTTTGTATGCAAAGACTAAAATTTACCCATTCCATAAATATAAATGAGCCTGAGACAAGACATTGGAAGGTTAGTGATTCTTGATTTGCCTTCATAAAACCACAAAGAAAAATACAAAGAAAAATAAAAAGTTTCAACAGTACTAGAAACCACAAATTCCAGAAAGGAATCTGCCAGGATCCAATTTCTAATTCCCAAACCAAAGTTCAAACTATGTTCTGTGGCAAATTGGTAGAAAAACAACAACAAATTATTTTATTATAAATGTGATTGCCCCTTTTAATGAATTAATACTTAGCTCCTGTCTCTAAGGTTAATTTGAGGATACTGTCTCTCCTATAATGTATGCAAAGCATTGGGGAATGTATATTAAAGTTTAAAACAAAAAGAAGAAGGTAAGGTCACAGGTATAGAAAAACAAATTAGATTTGAAATGTTATGGGTGATGGGCACCAATAGAAATAAGCAAGTTCTGTCTTCAAAAAAGAGAAACAGGGCTTTGAGATTGGTGAAGAGATCCAACATGAAGAAGAAAAGGTCTCTACATCAAGGGTCATAAAGAGATGGGAAGCCTGAACCCCTTGGGTCCCTTCATTCAGGGAGGCAGCTAATGTCCACAAAGTGCTAGTCCTAGGAATAATGAGAATGTAGCTTGCCCACAGCAGTCATTGCATCAACACCAAAGCAGGGGACAGGAAAGAGGACCATCAAGTTCTGCATACATGAGATAGGCCGTGTTGCAGAGACATTTCTCAATTGTTTCTGGAATTTGGAGAATTTGGCTATTGGGTGATTCATATGCCTCAGTCTCCAAGTCAGCTGACTGCATCAGCCCTGAGCCCTCTGCAACCCTGTTTGCTATCACCCTACCATTGACAGCCCTGTAGGCACCTGTCCATAATTTCAGCTTTCTATACAAATGGTGGTGGGGGTTGGGGGGTGAGTTAATGGAAGGATGTTTCCAGGTTAATCATAACTGCCATTTCTTGAATTCTCTAAAACTTCACATGAACCTGGAGCACTTTCATTATGTCTATTTATTATGGATGAAAAAACTCCAGTTCAAAGAGATGAGCTGATTTGACCTGGGCTACCCAGCTACCAGCTGCAATTTGAACCAGGTCTGTGTGAGTTCACACAGTGAATTCTCAACCACAATCTCCTACTTCCTTTTCAGGTGGATAAAAAGATGCAAACCATGAGACTTGAGGATTTCCATCTTCACCCACTACACAACCTGCTCATAGACACAACCTTTATCAAAAAGAAGGTAAGGAGTTGTTTATCACATGGGTACTACTTTATGAATACTAAATTTATTGCATGCACCATTAATTTCTCTCTCCCCAAGACAATCAGTTCCCTGGTGGTGCAGGATGGCTGGAGTGAAGACATTGGGAAGGGCTAAGGAGGAAGTGTGTAAAGGACTAAGTGTTAGGAACTGAAGCTGGAAGAACTGTGGAAGCAATGCCAGCTATGGACTGTAATTCCCTCTGCCTTGAAAAGAAAGAATAATAAATGGCTTCTCCAGTAGGCCAACCTTCAGCTCCACCATATTTTTTATATTGGTGCTTTATAATTATACATAATGGTGGGATTCGTTGTTAAATACTTATATGTGCATGTGACATAATGATATAATTTGATTATTTTTTTCCAGTATTTCCTCTTTCTTTTCCCTCCTCCCTTCCCTAGTCCCCTTTCTCTGTTCTATTGGTCTTTGGTCTGTTTCATGAGATCCCTCCCCACTTTTTTTTTTCTTTTCCCTTTTTTTTCTCTCTAGTTAGCTCCACCATATTTAAAATGCCTAGAACAGAGGGCTCTGTCCTCAGATGACTAGACCACAGATAAATACTGCAACCCCCAAGAAAGTTGACTGGAAGAAATACACACCAATTAATCCATCCATTTAATAACTGAGAAGATACATTTAAGGACATCCAAATGAATTATGGAAAGAATCAAGAATTAGGGGGAACTAAGATTGAATAGAACTTGCTGCCTCAAAAGATTGGGAAACAAGCCTGTAATCCCAGTGGCTCAGGAGGCTGAGACAGGAGGATCCAAAGTTCAAAGCCAGCCTCAGCAAAAGTGAGGCACTAAGCAACTCAGTGAGACCCTGTCTCTAAATAAAATACAAAATAGGGCTGGGGGATGTGGCTCAGTGGTTGAGTGCTCCTGAGTTCAATCCCAAGTATCCCCCCCAAAAAAAAGATTGGGAAACAAAACACAGACATATTGATGCATGTAACAATTATTTAGATGAAATTATTCTGAATAATTTAGTAAAACACAGAATGTAGGGTAATTAGAAATTAAGGTATTAACTACTTAATATTCTAAATGTTTTATATGAATTGACTATTCTTCACACAGCTCTGTAAGACATGCATATTATCGTCCTTGTTTGACAGATGAGGTATCTGAGGCACAGGTTGGTTACACAAATAACACAGAACAACAAACTAGAGTCCTAGTACAGTCCCTGCAGCCTGGATCCACAGAGTGTATTTTTAGCCACTGCACATTTTTCTGCCCATCAAATGAGTGGACATAATAGAGTTTTAAAACAGAGACACCTTTTATTTTAAGAGCAGAATAGATTAACAAAAGACTGTAAAGAAATATAACTAAGGTTTGAAATCCATATTTGGAACAACAGTAGACCTAACAGAGCAGGAAATAGATCCCACAACTTAGAAGATTCCCAGAGAGTCCTCTCAGACTTGTGTGATAAGAGAGGACATGGAACTGAGAGCCAACAGGCAGAGTATTCTCTTTTTTAAGAAAAGCTCATTAAAATATAGAATCAATCAATAAAGACACAGGAGAAATTCTAAAGAAAGACAAGAGTTTGCATATGGAAAAGTAACAGATGGAGTAGGAGAACTTACAGGGAACAAGACCAAGAAGAGGAGGCTACTCATTGTTTTATTATTATTATTATTATTATTATTATCTACAATAATAAATATATTTATTATTATCATTATTATAAGAGAAAATCATTCGGAATGCCCTTGCCTATCTCATGTAAACCTTCTTAGAGGTCAAATTTTGCTTGACAAACTATGACAAGCAAAGTACAGATAAAGAAAACAAAACCAAAAAAAGGTACAGAATAAAATGACTATTAATAGCATTAAAGCCAGTAACAAAAAGAATTAATGTTTTGTAAATCGGGCTTTTAAATAATGCAAATATAGAAATGGGATTCTTTCTCAGAGATTTATATAAATTTAAAGATTTGTTCCAAGTGAACCACTGATGAATTAAAATAGAGAACGCAAAATTTCAGCCACGAAATCTCTGGCTCCTCCAACTATCCTTCTGCTGAGACTTTGCCCCAAGTTCCCCGCTCCTCCACACTCCTCCCCTCACTCATACTCACCAGATCAGCTCATTCCAGGCCTCCGGCTGAATGTCACTCTGTGTCAGCAGCTACTCCCAAGACCCCAGCCCCAGCAAAGCATGCCACACATTTAAATGTCTACTTTACTGACTAAGTTTAAGTTATGTGAAGATAAATGGGCATCCAACTCCCCACCCTCTTATCTCCACTGCCTCAGAGTGCCTGCAGTGTTCTTGGTGTTTAAGATTTGTTAGATGAGCAAGTGAATAAATGAGTAAACAAGATATGCACACTCTAATATTGGGTAAAATCAGCATGTCCCCTTCCATGTAGATTTTAACCTGTAGGTATCTCTAAGAGAAAGAAATCAAAATTTAGGTATAGAAGAGCTGACTGTTACAAAAGGCCTACAAAATCAATGCTCTACATTTGTAAGTTTCATCTGGGTCTTTGGATACATGCTGGGGAGGGCTACGTCTCCCCAGTTGCGATTCTTCCCTTCAGGGGAGGAGATTCAACTGATATGCATTTCCTTTCTCTCCCCCTTGCTTTCTGCAGAAAAGATGGACTGAATCATTTGGTGAGTGAATGTGGGAAGAGGTACCAAGTTTGTTTGAGGCAGCTCATCCTTCTGTGTTGGGAGCTTGCAGTGAGCCCACTCCAGCATCTCCCAGGATCAGAGCCCCTCTCACTCCCAGCATCCTGTACCTGGGTGGGCGATCCTCATTAATTAGGGGGAGCCCAGCCTCCAACTGCAAGAGGGTTTTGTGTTGGTTCTCCTTTCCCCCTTTGCTGTATAACTAGACTCGTTTAAAATCAGGGCAGCAAAGACAGATGCAATGTATTAGTGCCGCTCAGAGACACTGAATACATCTCATCTATTCACCTCAAAGTTTTTCAGTATCATGAACATAAGAAATGTTTTTGCTTTGTTTATATGCATATTAGTACTAAATATTGAACAGAACTTTTAAATGTAGGTGAGAAATTCTCTGATCTTTATTAAGCACTATAATTAATTATCTATGAGACAGGTATAAAAACAAAATACGTCGCTCATTTCTTATCAGTTGGAATTCATATTACAACTTAGGACATCATCTATGGTAAGTCTTAAGAACTTTCATTTGAAGTTCTATTTCTATCTCATTTAGGGTTCTGGAAGGGAGATTTTTCTCTTGGTAAAAAAAAAATCATTTGGTATTTGCAATTCTGTCAAAGATTAGAGGTTAATTTCTATCCATTTTTCTTAAAAGTTCTTCTCTACCTATCATCCCTGTCCTCCTATCCCTTGTTTTTGGAGTGTGAGCCTCCTTTAATCACAACTGGGGAAAATGAATCATGAACAACAGAGAGGAGCTTGAAACTTTTGTGTCTGCTTCTGTTCATATCTTAAAAAAAAAAAAAAAAGCACTGGATGTGATATTTTTAAAACTTATCACTTCAAATTTCTCCAAAGGCTTTTATGAGAGGTACCATCTTATTCCTTCTGCCAGAATTCTCTGAGATATCCTTTGACAGGTATGTGGAACAAAACATATTTTGAGAGGGAAAAGAAAAGAAAATCT